CCAGGGGTCAATTGCCCCCCCCCCCCCCCCCCCACTACGGACGGGCAAACCTCCTGCCGGGGTATTCACCTCCATCGGCAATGACGAATTAGTGCATTACATATTACATACCTATAAAGAGCGTAAACACACGCGTTACTGTCTTCCCATACTATCCTCTCTCTCTAGACGGGAACATTATGGTACGTTTCTATCCTTCTTCTGATACCCCTCTCTCTCTCCTTTTTTTCTTCCACATAGAACTGATCGAAAGTACAAATGATGATAAAAAACCCCAGGCTCGAAAATCTTCTTCCCCTCGCCGCAAACGCGCCCAGGACCTGGCCGACGCGTCCCGAGCCGAAGAGCCCACCAACGATCCAGACGACGAGTACCGCCCCAGGAAGCGTGGACGCCCACGTAAGAGCACCGACCCCAACACCGCCCCGCGCCAGCCGGCAGGCGGCGCAGCCAAGAAGCGAGGTCGACCGCGTAAATCCGACGTGGAGAATGGGCCGCCGCTGCCAGCAGCCGGGGGGGAGCGCGCGTCCTTGCAGGGTGACGAGGCGCGGGCGCAGCAGCTCCCCGCTCCGAGGAAGAGGGGACGGCCCTCGCTAGCCGAGGTGCGCGAACGTGAGCGCGCTTCACGGCAGCAGCGGGAGGACGAGGACGAGGACGAGAGCGGCCAGGGGTCCCGGCAGCAACGACGCATATCAGGCGGCAGCCTGAGCGTGAGCAGCGGCCGCGCCTCGCTGGACTCGAGGCGCCGCTCATCGCTGCGGACGGAACCCGACGCGCCGTACCCGCACGTGTCGACCACGATCCGCTCGGTCAAGCAGTCGACCATCGACGCCAGGTGGGCGCCCCTGACGGCCGCCTCGGTGGCCGCCGCCTCGGAGACGCTCGCCCTCGCCCACCGGCCCATCATGCAGCGGCTCGCGAGCAACGGCCAGCGTCGGCGGCACACAGCCTCGGCCCTCTCCCTGCTGGACAGGCGCATCGCCCGCAAGCTCCAGAGGGGGCTGCCCTTCCCACCGGCCGCCGCAGCCCCTTCCGGCCAGGCGGCGGCCGCCGCCAAACGACGCGGACGGCCCCGTGGCATCGGCAGCGGCAAGACGGCCGGCGTCGAGGCCGAGCTGGACTTTGAGAGCGTGCTGGACGGATCCCAGGCCCTGGAGCGTCAGCTCGAACCGCTGCTGCACGCCGTCGAGCTGCTGCGCAGGGAGAAGGACCACATGGAGAGGGAGCTCGAGCTCGACTACAAGAACCTGCGGAACCTGGAGGCTGGTGCGCGCGGCCAGGCCCGCGTCCGGAGGGACCAGATCAAGAAGGCCCACGTACTCGTGCCCGAGGCGCCCTCGCGCGACGACGACAACGATGACGGCAACGGCAACGACGACGACAACCCACGTCGGCTTTTCGGCGACGGTGCCGTGGAGATGGTCTCTCACAGGGACGGGCGTGTCCCGTCCGATGCAGTTTTCAAGGTAGGTATCTCCGTGTGTGTGGCTCTGAGGAGTCCGAATCGATGGCAGTTAACTGACTGATGGGCAGGACCTGGACGATGATCAACTCAAGTCTCTGGCTCTGCAGCTCAGCGGCCACGTCGACAGTATGACGACCAACCTCGAGCAGACGGACGGGCTGACGGCCCGGATCGCCGAGGCCAGGACGGCCCTGCGAGCCACCCTGCTCAAACATCTTGACCCGAAGCAGTATGACCAGGTGGTGCTGGGTTGAAGTGTCAAGTTGGCGTTTCTCTTCCTCTTTTCTCTCTCTTTCCTTCTCTCTTTCATCTGGAAACATGATATGATGATGACTACTTTTTTTTTCCCCTTCTCTTTATTCTTTTCTGTTGCGTTTTCTGTTGTGTTTTCTGTCTAGCCTTTTTTTTTTTTTTTTTTTTTTGCATGATCATGCGGCGTCATCACAACTCGGTTTGGAAAAAAAAAATGATGAGATATACCCAAAATGTTTTTAGTATGCATGGGAGATCCAAAGATACAGAGAGAAACGACGCGTAGATGTACAATCAAGCGGAGACGCTGATTGTTTTACACACACTGGATACATTTTGAACACGCGTACGGGATTGGCACGAGCTGTTCTTTTTGGTGAGATTTCGATCATTGTCCATCTTTTCCTAATGTGATTGAAACGAGGGATATGTCATTCGGACATGTAGCATCTCTTTCTTCTATACTCGAAACAAGATCTTTATGCCGACTACAGGTAATATACGTATTGTACGGAGCATCAACGGCATACACCATCAACATCGAAGCATTGACAAGGCAAGGGACTCTTCTGTCCATACTGCCCACGAACCATCACCACGAAAGAAACTGCACACGACGTTTTTTATAACGAGAGGCTATTTACCAAAATATACAAAACAAAGAACTTCCGGAAGTCAAGATCCCGAATCCAAGCAACACTACCTCTTTCTTTCCCCTCCACGCACACGTAGGGGGGGGGGAAGACACTCTCAGGGGCGCACACATATACAAGTTCTTTCCCTTCCCTGTCTCATAGAGAGGAATAGAGAAGAAAAAAAGACGGGACTTGTTCTCCTTATCTCGAGACCAGTCCGGCTAGTTGACGGATTTACCGGACGAGACGGGCAAAGCCGGAAGGAGCGGCGGCACCAGCGGGGACAGTGCCGTTGTTACCGGTGGGGAAGGGGGCGGGAGCAGTGGCTGTAGTGGCCGGGACATCCTCGCAGTCCTCATCGTCGTCGTCGACGTCGTCGTCGGCGTCGGCATCATCACCAGCGTCGGCGTCACCGGTCCCGGCGGTACCGGTCTCGGCAGCAGGGGCGGCGGCCGTGGAGGTGGCGATGGCGCTGTTGTCGGCGTTGACGGTGACGTAGACGGTTGAGGCGGGGGCGGTGACGGTGACGGTCTCGGCGGCGGCGCAGTCGCCGGAGCCAGAGCCAGAGCCAGAGCCGGAACCGGTGCCACTGTTGGAGGTGTCGGTATCCGCGTCAGAGCCGGAGCCGGAGCCGGAGCCGGCAGAGGCGGCAGAGGTGGCGGCGGCCTTGGAGGAGAGAGTCAGGGTGGCAGTGGCAGTCTTGGTGCCGGTGAAGGTGGAGGTCTGGGCGCCGGTACCGGAGCCAGAGCCAGTGTTGCCAGAGTCGGTGCCCGAACCGGAACCAGCGTTGCCAGAGTCGGTNGAGCCAGAGCCAGTGTTGCCAGAGTCGGTGCCCGAACCGGAACCAGCGTTGCCAGAGTCGGTACCGGAGCCGGTGCCAGAGTTACCGGTGCCGGTACCAGTGCCAGAGTTACCCCCGGTGGCAGTGCCGTTGCTGGGGATGGAGGTAAAGATGGGGGTAGGGGCGCCAGCGACGGGGGCGCCAGCGACGGGGGCGGTGGGCGTGGCGGTGGCGGTAGCCTCAGCCTCGCTGTGGGAGGAGAGGATAGAGGAGGAGACCTCCTCGGCGTCGGCGACGGGGCAGACGGTGGTGGCGATGTCGACGGTGCTGGTGACGATGACGACCGACTGCTCCGACGAGGGCAGGGCGGCGAGGGCGGAGGAGTCGGTGGCGGCAGGGCAGTTGGTGACGGTGGCGGCGCAGCTGGTGATGGTGTGGATCTGGGTGGTCTTGACGGTGATTGTGGTCTGCTGCTCTCCGACGGTGGAGTTGTCACGACGGAAGTGGAAGTGGGCGTGGTCGTTGATGCCGGCGGAGACGGCCGTGGCCATGACCAGAGCAGAAGCGACGGTGAACTGCATCTTGAAGAAGTGTTTTTCTGTATATGTAGATGTATAGATATGACGACTTTCTTGTCTTCTTTTTCTATCTTAAAGAATGATGGTGAAATGGGGGGTAGCTCTCCTGGAGGGTTTGATATATAATGATTGTGTGTGAAAGAAAAAGAGAATATTCACGTGTAAGAGGAATGAATGTTTGTGGTTTTTTTTTATTTGAGGGAGAGAATGAATGGCTCAGCCAGAAGAAGAGAAGAGAAGAAGAAAAGAAGAAAAAGAGTCGTCAAGACCTCGTATGTAAGAATGAAGATTTGTCCGTGTGGTGGTGGAAGAGGAGAAGAAAGGAAGGAGAAGAAAATAGAAACCATCGGGGCGGAGGGGAGAGGGGGGGGATATAAGAGAATACGAAGTATTACCTGAAGATACGGATACGAACGGACGGGCAATGCCATTTTCCCCCCCTCTCCCTTTCTTTCTTCCTCTCTCGTCGTTGGACCACTTTTTGCAGGAACAGGGATCAGGGTCTGCTGTCTCTTGGGTGGAACTGGAGAGAAACGGTGGTGTGTACATGATGGTCTTGGGAGAGTGTGAAACGTTGGTGGGGGGGAGGGGGGGAGGAGGAGGATGGATATCGGTGCACACTCACATGTACGATTGCGATTAATACCTCTCTCTCTCTCTCTCTCTCTCTCTGTGTGGGTGTGTGTGTGTGTGTTATATTTATTATTATTATTATTATTATTATCAAAGCTCCGTACCAGTAGACTGCCCAGCGCGATACATCATTATATAATATATCATAACCATATATGTGGTATATTAATCGTGGAAAGACACAGAAACAAGGAATAAGCAAGGGGTCAGGGGGTATGTATCGTACGCTTACCGGGGTCACGAACAGATCTCGGTTCGCACATTCTTCCCTCTCTCTCTCTCCTTCTCTGTCCCCCCACCTTGTTTCTTCTTCTCCTTCTTCTCCTGCAGAGAGATTGACAAAACCGTCCATTCCCAAAAATGTGTCTGTTCCTCATTGTCAGCCATGCTTCCCATAAGTGGTTGGGACTAGTGATATTGGAAGTCTCAGCCATACATCATGACAGACATGTTCGTGATACGCATAAATAGATTTTTGAAAAAAATAAAAAATAAAAAATAAAAAATAATAATAATAATAAAAGGGGGGGGGGGGGTTGGTTGATACTATTCTCATTATTCAATGCCTTTCTTTCTACTCTCTCCTTAACCGCCAGAACAGATACGGATACTCACCCGTTCGCGACAAGGAACAGAGGAGACACAAAAAGGAACGAGCAAAGGTAATAGCTCAGCCGTCGTGTCCCCTCCCCTTCCACCCCCCAGATGCAGGTACAGGATAAATCTGAGACGCCTCGTCATCCAATCGTCTGTCTCATGATCCATATGGAGAATCACCCAGGAACAGGGCCACCCACCCACACCCGCTACGCCGGGGCTACGGAGCCTTGAAGTAGTCACTGCGCCTCGCCAATTAATGCGCTCGGACTGGGCAGGGAGGTGATTGATGTATATGATGATCCGTACAGGTGGGAATATATAAGATGTTCGTATCATGCACGGATACGGCGTATGTTTTATGTAGTGATGTAGGAATATATGTATACATGCATATATATATACACATATACATATATACGTATATACACATATACATATATACGTATATACACATATACATATATACACATATACATATATACACATATACATATATACATATACATATACCTCTATACATGTATATACATGCTCTTCATTTCTTTTCATTTCTTTTCAATTCTTTTGTTATTTTATTCATCTATATTTTTTTTTTACCGAGCAAGTAATAATCCTCCGTGCTCTGTCACTATCTAATAAATAGTAACCGTGATATGCAATTACGAGATACTTACGGTATGAAAAGAAATTTCAGGCACGCAGGCGCCGACCTAGACTCGTACACATCACGAACAGACCATGAGCACGGATATTATTGATACCCGTACGAGTACGGGTCATGCACACGGTATTGATATTCCGTATGAAATTCCTCCTATTGACCATGCGATCAATGCGCTCTCACATGTACCGTTTATTTACCCGTCCGCCGTGATTCCCGCTCATCTCCATTCTGCGTGTTAATAGACGCGACATCGCATATCCCATCACGCCATTTGACCACCTCACAAACTAGCACACTCGTCATATCCCTCCTCTCCTATCCTTCTCCGGCTCGGTGGCGCATTATCAAGCGAGTGGTCATGACGATGCTTCTTCCCCCCCCTTCTCATCAGCCATCCCTTCTCACATCTCACTTCCCATCGGACCACCAATCATTATTTTTATTTATTTTGTGTGTGTGTGTGTGTGTGTTCTACCGTCAAGTCGTAAAGCTTTCCCCAGTATTATACTATATTATTATGTATTATTCATATATATAAATAATAATAATAATAATAAAAGGATGGCTTGTTTCTCCTCCTCCCCCTTTCCTCTTTCTCTTGGCATCCCCTCACAATCCTCTCAATCCTCTCAATCGGAGGAAAGCAGGTAAGGAGGAGGACTACGTATCAATATCACCTGCTGATACCCTTCTGCTCACGGAGCCATGTATGATATTGACATTACGTACCGAGCATGACTATGATTACTGTTATTGAATACGTCGTATACACGTGTACTACTGTCAGATATCTTACGAGTACGAGAGAGAGAGAGAGAGGATAATCCAAGAGGAATAGGAAAAAAAGAGGGGGGAAGAGGAAGGGAAAAAGAAAGAAGAAACATTCTCTTGCACCTTGGTTGGACCTCTGTTTCGTAACCTTTCCAGGGGCCGCAGCTCTGATACAGCGCCACCATCACCGACCCCCGTCTCTCTAGTGTCATCTACCCAATCCTGAAATCTTTTTTTTTTAAAGCGTGGAACGAACACGCATCCTTGACTGTCCGCGTAGTGTTAATGCTCATATTCGTATGCCATCCTGCCTCAGAAGAAAAGAAGGGGGGGGGGGGGGCGGAGATTTAAAAATAAAGATAAAACTTGCGGCATTGAAAACATGTCCAAACGAGGACGCCATCTCCGGTTTCAGCCATCTCTCTTCGGATCCGTCAACCTTGAACCGTAAAATGAAGAGAGAGAGAGAGAGAAAAAGACACATCTTCATCCATCTACCCGTACTCTGGTAATAGCTGCATGGTGAGCTGCCGTGCATCACCGACCTGACCATCACTCAACCTCCTCGATCCTGGGACGTCCACCAATCCTGCTGTTGCTGCTGCCGACGTCGGGATCGACCGTCAGCCCTGCCAGCCTGCTGATGGTCGGTAGACCCTGAGCGTCGCCGCTCGGCGCCGGCACGAACTGCGACAGCTGCCAGCTCTCCAGGCTCTCGATGACGTCCCTGGCATGCTCCTTGACCAGCCCGTCATTGTCCGTCTCGGCCACGTACCGCAGCGTGCGGACGATGTCGTCGCGGCTCTCGTCCGTGAGGCCGAACCCGAGCGGAGGCCGCTGCCGCTGCCGCGGCTCCCGTGCCCGGTCCAGGGCCCGGACGAAGCTGAGGACCGTCACGATAGCCGCCCGTCGCAGTATGCCCTTCTCCACCTCTGGCTCGAGCGTGAGCACGCTGACGCACAGGTCCACCACGCTCGAGCTCAGCGTTGCCCCCATCCCGCGCATGTTGGTCTCCATCGCCACCCCGAGGATGGACAGCGCCGACGTCCTCATGCGCACGTCCTCGGCTCCCCTCTTGCTGTCCCACCCCTGCACGATCTGTGCCAGTGCTTCTCTGCGCGACCGGTCCCCCCCCCGCCCCTCCTCCTCCTCCTCCTCCTCGCCATCACCCATAACGTCGTCGCCGTCATCGTCGTCGTCATCGTCTTGCCCCCTTTCCGCCGCCTTCTCCTTCTTCCTCCGCTTCATCTCCCGTAGCCTCTCTTCCCGTGCCTGACGCGCCAGCGTCTTGGGTCTGTAGCCCCGGCGGCCCGCGATCGACACCAGCGTCTCCCCCACCTGCTGTGCCACCTCGCCCGTAAATGTCTCGCCCAGCCGCTCAATCACCTGGACCAGCGCCTCGCCGAACCGTAGACGCGTGTCCGTCGACTCCCGCTCCTGCGCGTCCAGGTAGTGGTCTGCTATCTCCCCCACCGTCGACCGGGGGTGCTTGCTCGCCAGCTGCGTAAACGTCTTGATCACCCTCAGGTTGATGTAGTCCTCGCCGTTGGCCAGCAGCTTCGACAGCAGCACGTTGACCGCCGTCACGTCCAGCATCGGGCTGCCTGCCACGATCAGTCCCGACAGGAGGTTGATCCCCTCCGAGATGACCGGCGGTGGGTTGTCGGCCCCCGTCATGTAGCTCATCGCCAGGTCGTACGTGCGCCGGTCCTCGACCTGGCGCTTGCTTGGCGCCGCCGCCGCCGCCGCCTCGTCGTCCGGCCCGTCCATGTCCCCGCGGTACCTGAGCAGCAGGCCCAGGTTCGCCGCCGTCTGGGATGCCGAGCCTCTGTCCGGCTCTCGGCTGAGCCTGTCCAGCGATGCCTCGATCTTGTCGAGCTCGTCCTTCCTGATGTCCGACTTCTGAAATGTCGGTGCCGTCACCACCATGTTCAGCAGACTGAGGACGACGCCGACCAGCTCGTCGTCCATGCGCATCTCGCCGTCGGCCTGCAGCACCTGGACGATGAGTTCCAGTAGCTGGTCAAACTGGCTGACCAGCTTCTCTGGCGCCTTGTCCAGGAGCTTCTGTAGGAGCGTCACCTCGAACAAGTCTCGAAGAGGCGATCCTGGTCTCTGTTCCTTCCCCCCCGTCTCCATCGGGAGCCTGATGTCCGCCGACTCCCCCGTCGTCTTGATCCACTGCCGAAGCAATCTGAGGAACAGTACGGACACGTCCTCGGCCGGGCACGCTGTGACCACCATGTCTGCCAGGCTCGTCGCCTTCTCCTCTACCTCTGCCCAGCTGACACCGGCGACTGCTGCGGTCGGCTTGGTCACCGCACTCATCTGCCCATTCTCCTCTAGACGATACTCCCACGTGACCTCGGCCCCGGGTACGGATCCCTTGCACAGGCCGTGCTGTAGCAGGCTGTCCATCGTGTCGTCCTTGCCAGAGAGCCTGAGGTAGGTGCCGACCAGCGTCCGCGCCATGCCCCGAGGGGAGTCCTGCGTGGTGGGAGCACCTGGCCAGGAGGCCAGAGACCACAGCTGCACGAGGATAGGCTTGAGGATCCTCTTGCAGAGCCCTGGTGCCGGGTTGGAGAGGATCAATATCTTGAGGCGTTTCAGGGTCGTCTCGAGTGACTCGGTCGTGGTGAGAACTCGGTCCCGAGTCAGGTCAACGACTTCTCCTTCTCCTTCCTCTCCTTCTTCCCTCTTGATGGTGTCTTTGTCATCTCCCAGCCCTCCTCTGGACCGTAGCGATGGGTCAACGTTTGCCAGAAGTGGCTGGACGAATACATTCCAACCGGGTGACCCTGCGACGAGACCGTGTCAGTTCAGCTACATAACCCGGGGGGGGAAGATGGCGCCGCTGGCGTCGTGGTAGAAGGAGACGGATAGCAAGGCGATCGTGACTGTGTCATACCTGGTGCTCCCAGATCCTTCCTACCCAGGAATCCAAACCCGACGATCCGGGCCGACGTGCGCGCGAGATCCGGGCCATCCTTCCCATCCATGAGGTGAAACATCTGCCCTGATATCCCCTCGCACCACTCCTGCGCCGACATGGACGCCGGCACCGCCGCGAGGAGCCTAGTGACAATCGACACGGCCTCCTGGGTGATGCTGGCTCCCTGCTTCTGCGGTGCCGTCCCGTCGGGAGGAAGCTGTGACGAGCTCGGGTGCACGGAGAAGACAAACTCCATGGTGCCTCTGACACCGTCGGGCCGCAAGGGGAAGAATGTGAGCGTCTGCATAAACCCCTTGGAGAGCCACGGTGGTAGGACGCCAGGCTTGATGAGCGCGTTCAGAGCAGGTAAGAGAGCCCAGGTCTCGGTCCTGCACAAGCCCCGAAACGTATCAGAACAGTCCTTTTTTTCTTCTTTTTCTTTTCCCTCCATGATTTCCCTCCCTTTTGCCTCTCTATCTTGCAGTCACGTGGGCAGAGTGGTAAGAATTGCGTGGAGCTACTTACCGTCTGATGAGCTCATTGTAACTCTTTAGTCCTGCCTCTCTGGATTCTGCATCGAGTGATGGGTCAAAGGCTTGCTGGCCCGCGTCTACGAGTTCTTGGGCGAGTTTGGGCTGTGAATGTTGCTGTTGCTGCTGTGGTGTCCTTGACTGCTCGGCCATTCTATCTCACGTAGAGTCCGGTCTTGAAAGTTATGGAAATTCTCTGATCCAGAGCCCTAACATAGCAGATAGCAAATACAGAGAGCCGTAAAGAAAGACTGGTGATGCGTTTACAAATCATGATGGATACTTGTACACGCTGCACTGGTGCAGATGAGGAAGAATCACGTGAGCCTAGTCGAGAGGAGTTGCCGGTGCTCCTAGCCGCAAAGTACATGTAGCGTTGTTACGGTGCCGACCACAGGATTAGGCTACTCAAAGAGACGATGTTCTGTTTGTGATGTGACCATGATCATTACATGCACAGGTCTTGATAGACCTCGTTCACGCTCTGTCGTAGTGTATATAGCACCTTTCTTGATCGCCTGACATGTTTGACATGTCACGACGTCTAGGTCACGTGCGAACGCGTCTATGAATGGTCCGTGCACGTAACCATAAAAGTGGGCACCGCGTCTCAAGGTCTTTCCTCTCTTCAACCTCATCTTTCAATGTGAGCAACACCAATGCCGTTCCCTCAAGCCGTCTCCGCAGATTCCTAGGCAGTGGCTTTGCTCTTCTCGTCTGCCGCGTCGGAATCATCTTGGACTCTCCTTTATGATGCAGTGCCAGCACCGAAAGCTCCTTCGATGCCTCTCTCCTTGGAGGGCATCACCAACGAGGCGCGTCGCCTCCCCTCAGTCCTCCGATTCTTCGTTTTCCGCCAGGAATGTCTATCGCAGACCTCCGTCCCCCCCCGCCAGTCCTGATCATGGTGCCGCAATGTGCAGCTCTCGAACCTGTATCAGGACCTCGCTGCTTTGCTGCAAGTGGGATTCATTGCGGTCTTCCTGTCGTTGGCTCACTCGACGACACTGGCTCATGGGGGGGAACGAGTTTCGGAACTTAACCCTAAGCATACAGCTGGTCTCACAACAAAGCTTTGCGTCTTCTGTTCCGTCTGAACCGATTTTTATGTTGGCCAGGCAGCTCCGCACGGCCTCCCCCCGCTGAACAAGCGGAAAGGCGTGCGCGGAGATCCTGTGCCGACGGACTGTCGGGGAGGGCAACTTCCAGTCACCCGTCTCTATGGGTGCGCAAGAGAGAGGTGCCATGAGCCTATTTGGTAAGAGCCTCTGGTCTGAGGACGCTCGTCAGCCCTCTACGCTGGGCTCAGGACAACGGTCACTAGTAGGTCGTCTGGGTGGTGCTGCCGAGCTGGGTTTATAGGAGATGCAGGGTCCACCTTCGGATTCGGGGCTCGCTTCGGGAGCTCCATGAGTGGGGAGAGAGGGATCTGAGCACAAGGTTGGCTACACACAATCAGCCTGGGCATTTCGCAAATATTCCTTCCTAGGACTGTTCCTTGCCGGAAAGCGCAGCTGTCAAGCACAGCTGTGTTGCGAGGGTTCCGAGGATACATACGGAAATGCCCACCTGGGCTGATGGGAATGCTCCTTCGTCACCTTGCAGAAGGCTCTCGGATATCCTGACATTCTCCCCCTCGGGTGCCGCCGGAGTGGGCTCCTGTTCATCGGCACCCCACCACATCCAACCTGTCAGCTCTTCTCCGAAGCTCCCTGGACCGTACCCTGGCCATATGCTGCGGGTGCGTGATGCTCTGCATCTAGCCTGACCAGACGCATCAGCCTTCTGGGCGTGGGCTCCGTCCCACGGTTCAGAGGGGCGCCAGAACATCATCTTACCTCGAGTGGTCCTCGACAAGAGGACCTCTTCGAGATGACAGCGCGGTTTTTATCGATGTCTTTTGTCCGTGCGGAATCGCTCCCCTTGACAAACAGCTCTCTTGAGCCATGGGGGAGAAACAAAAACCTGTCCCTGTTGGCAGCGCTACACATACAGATGGAGCTTGCGGGGCTGCATCTGGATCGTCCCTTATTCTCCCGACATGGCGTTCGGGATCTTCACTGTCGAGGATGGAATCGCGGTGCGGCGTGTGGACTTCGGGGCCTCGTTCGGGTGTCTCTTCGACTTCTTATGCTTCAGGTTGTGAGAGCTCGCGGTTCCGGGACCCATCTCGTGTTGGAGTCAAAGTTTCGTACTTGTCCGGCATCGCCTGCAATCATGGCTCGGGGCTCGGATGTCGAGGTCGTTGGCGTCGGCTGACTGATTATTCTCTACTCTGTTGCTTCTATTGGAATCTCGGGGCAGGCCAGTTGGGAATCGGCAGTCCCAGGCTGTCCTCGCGCCAGAAATGGTGTCGAGGACAGCCCCCCTTGGCCGAGGGGATAAGTCTACCCCCTCTGTCGGTGTCTGCTGTCCTCATGCGCTAACACGCCAGCAGGTCCTAGTATCGACAGCCTGTCGATCCCATGCGTTGTGCCACTGCAACGGCCACGCACAGCACAACGACGAATACGCACACTTACCCCGTGCTTGCCTATGGGCAGTCATCCTCCCGACCATCGAGGCTCGCCCAGTTCCAATATGCGGCGTCGTAACATTCCTCGAATCTCAACATGAGCAATCAAACGTGGGTACGAGCATCTGAGGCAGACCACCAACACATGGTGGCGACCTTCTCTTCTTGGTTTGGCCAGCATCAACTGCCCACTAGGCTCCTTAGGTCACAAAAGACCCGCTACCTGGTCTGTGTTTTGCAGGCGTCCACTTGTGATGAATGTTGTTGTCCAATCGCCCCAAGAAGTGACCAGGCGGGGGCTATGAGAGGACGGTGGGCGGAATGATCAAACCCCCACCTGGAAGAAGAAAAAAAAAAAGCCTTGCTCCCACGTCTACGTAGATATCGTGACACTTAGTATTAGGTACACGAGGTAGTAGTCTAGACAGTACCCAGGTAGCACCTGGAAAAGCAGTGAAGGGAATTTGCAGTCCCTGTTTGCACTCAAGTCTTCTGGCCTAATATAACAGTAGTTGCTGTACAGACGTGAAAAGACTCCTTTTTCCCTTCCCAGGCCCACCAAGAGGGATGTTTATTTTTTCTGCATCGGGACGGGCCGCTCCTAGTCGACCCCCATTCATTCTTCCGAAGGAAAACAAGTTTTTTCCTCTTCTAATCCCTCTCACTTTCCACGTAAAGAAACCCCTCATGGTGGTAGGACGTTGGGGTCGGTACCACGGCGTCGTCCTCATTCTCTTCCCTCGGCCTTTGGTTGTATGATAAAAAGTCAGCTGTAGCCTGTAGGTGCTCTGTTGGGGGGGGGGGGGGGGGGGGGGGGGGGGGGGACAGGACAGGCAAGCATCGAAAACCACAAGGACATGGAAAAGAGGGAAGAGGAATCAGATAGACACACAAGGCATTTGGCACATGATGACTGGTTGACCCAGACCCAGTTCGGACAGTTGTGAGTGTAAAAGTACTTGCAGCGATATTTGTAGAAACCGCCGGTCGAGTCCATGGTGTTTTTTTTTTGTAGTCAGGGGGGGGGGAGGGAGAAGAAAAAAAGATGTATGTAACCTGCCCTTGAGATGTACAAGGACGATTTCTTATACAGCAATGGGAAAGGGGGAGACAAAGCCGTTACTTTTGCTTCTCTTCTTCCTTTCCTGTTCCTGTTTCCAGCTAAACTCTCAAGAGGAGGTCGGCGAGGGGGGGGGGGAGAGGTCGGAGGGAAAGGGGAAATCTTATAGCCCGAAGACTTGGTGCGACTGATGACATATCGTGTACCTGTTTGCTTGTCACCCTCTGCATTAAAGATGTTAGACATGAAAAGGAGAGGGGGGGGGGGGAGAGGGAGAGAATGTGTGCGTGTGTGTGTGTGTCCTAGGTGGATAGGTGGGATAGAAAGGTTCTACGGCCGAGCCGGGAGAGGGATTCGTTGAGACGCCCGTAGTTATCTCCCTCGAATGATATATGCTATATGTTAGAATAGTGTCTATGGAATCATTCTTCCTCATCCTATTTCACCATCCCGTGGATTTCTTTTTCGTTAGTGGGGGGGAGGGGTTGGTTGATAATCTGTAACCTAACCAATCTGTTCGAGACTTTTTTTTTTTTGGTTTGCAGCGAATGTAAGACTTTGCTGTGCTCTCTTTTCATAATCATCATGACATTACATTACGAATGTAATAGGCTGGGAGGGGAGGGGTTTCCATGTCAGTCAGTTTCCGTGTGGGATTTCAAGAGAAAAGCAAGAAAAAATGAGGCTGATGGCAAAACCAAACTTTTTTATATTGGCTAACCATGTGAGACTTGTCGTAACATAAAAACATCATCAGTCTTGTGACACATGAGGGGGGGGGGGGGGGACAGGAGGGACAGAAGGGACAGACCAGCACTCATAAAACCCTAGACACACTCAACACAATTGGAGCACTTTTTATTTGGATATATATCCCATTCTCAAAGTATGGAGAAGAGGAAGAACGACATGAAGAAGAAATAATAGAGAGAGAGAAAAAAACATGATATAAACAAACATGATATATTGATGCCAACTCATCGCTCCCGTGATGGTGTAGTCTATCTGTGTGGGGGTTTACCGGCTCGCCTTCATGGCAGCCTTGCGGCGCTTCTTCTCCGCAGCGCGCTGCAGAGACCTCTTCATCTCGTTATCCTCCATGGTGTCGATGTCGTAGTATACTGGTGCAATTTCCTGTTTCACCGCCCCCGACAGTCAGTATGTGTATGGAGGAGAGGAAAGAAGAAGAAGAAGAATAAAGACTTACCAGAAGCCACTCAGGACGGATACCGGTGCAGGTACGAATATACTGCTTAGAGGTGAGGACAAACTCATTGTAGAGGACCCAGTCGAACTCGGTGCGGAGTACGGTGGAAGGGTGGATGAGGACGGCCTGCTCGTCCTTGACGGTGCGGTAGACCTTCCCGGCCGACTCCTTCATGGCGACCTGCATGAAGAAGCCGGCGAGGAGGGCGCGGCGGATGTTGTTGTAGTAGTTCTTGTCCTCGAAGGGGGTGGAGACGAGCTCGAGCTCGTTGACCTCCATGATGCGCTTGAGCTGGGCGCGGACGTTGTCGGCGCTGGACAGGTGGCGGAAGGAGAGGAAGTGGTCGTGGCACCACTGCTTGACGGCGGCCGGGTTGGAGGTGGACTGGCCCTTGAAGGCGTGGTAGGCGTTGAGGAGGGTCAGGTGGTCGCCGTCCGGGTGGGCGAACTGGGCCTTCATCTCGTCGGCGCGCTTCCGGTTGTTGGCCGGCCGGACGAAGATCTGCGGCACCGACAGCAGCGACGTGATGGACAGCATCTCGTTGGAGCAGTAGAACTCGGGCGACGAGATGAGCATGACGGCCAGCGCCGGGTCCAGCGGGAACGCGGACGCCATGCTGCCCAGCGTCGTCAGCTCGCCCTCGTCGTCGAGGCACGCCAGGTAGTTGAGCTCCTCGAGCGCCCGCATCATCGTCTCGGGCGCCGGGGGGTCCATCAGGTCAAAGTGCACCAGGTCCTCGACCCCGAGCTTCTTCAGCTCCAGGACCGTGTTGGCCAGGTTCGACCGCAGGATCTCCGGGTACGTCTGCTCGATCAGCTCCTTCTTGAACGCGTTCTCCGTGTACAGCCTGAAGCACTTTCCCGGCTTGGTACGACCGGCGCGACCTGCCCGCTGCTGCGCCGACGCCTTGGAGATGGGCGACACCAGCAGCGACTCGACACGGATGCGCGGGTTGTAGATCTTCTGCTTGCTGAATCCGGGGTCCACCACGTACACGATGCCGTCAATCGTCAGACTCGTCTCGGCAATGTTGGTCGACACGATGACCTTCCTGCCGGGCCGGCCGCCCGCGCGCAGCGGCGCCGGCGCCTTGTCGAAGATGCGCTGCTGCTGCTGCGGGGGCAGCGTTCCGTACAGGGGGTACACCACGAGCGGGCCCGCCTCGACCTCGCGCTGCAGCTCCTCGGCTTCGAGGCTGATCTTGCGGCAGGCGTCCTCGATCTCGTCCTCTCCCGTCAGGAACAGGAGCACGTCGCCCTCGGGCTCGGACGCGTGGATCTGGAGCACCGTCCGGATCGCCGCCTCGACGTAGTCCTTCTCGGGCTCGGGCGTGTAGAAGATCTCGACGGGGTGCGTGCGGCCGGGGACCGCCAGCAGGGGCGCGTCGTTGAAGTACTTCTGGAACTTCTGGGCGTCGAGCGTGGCCGACATGATGATGATCTTGAGGTCGGGGCGGCGGGCGGCGATCTGCTTCAGCAGGGCCATCAGGATATCCGTGGCTAGCGTCCTCTCGTGGGCCTCGTCCAGGATGATGCAGCTGTAGCGTGACATCTCGTGGTCGTGCATGGCCTCGCGCAGGAGCATACCGTCCGTCATGTACTTGAGCATCGTGCTGGGGCCCGTCCGGTCCTCGAAACGGATGCTGTATCCTACCTCCTCGCCCAGCTGAACGTCCATCTCGTCGGCCACACGCTGCGCCACCGACATGGCGGCCACACGACGCGGCTGCGTGCACGCCACCAGCTTGTGGGTCAGGTTGGGCAGCTCGTCGTAGACGACGTACTGAGGGATCTGCGTCGTCTTACCCGAACCCGTCTCTCCGACAAACACCAGGATCTGCGTCGAGTGGTACTTATCCAGGAACTCCTGTCGCTGCTTGTGCACGGGGAGGTCACGCCGCGACTTCAGGATCTGGAAGTATTGCTGCGTGTGCTTTCGGCCCGTGAAGGCGTTGTCGGACAGGTCCTCGACCTCGGCCGCCTGCTCGGCCGTCGTATGACGACGCTTCAGCCCCGAAAGCAGGGCGGCACCCTTGGCTTTGCTGTCGCCGTTCTGGTCCTCGTCCTCATACATGTGGGCGAGGTACGGGTTGTGCCTGTCAGCGTCGTCGTCGTCGTCTTGCTTCCGGGCCTTCTTGCGCGAGGGCCCGTCTGGATTGGCACTCGCGCGTTTTCCCGAAATCGAATCGGACATTTTTTTTTCGGTAACGCAATCAACCGAGGTGTTCGCGATCTTCGGGGGAGGGGAGGGAAGGGGGGGGAGGTGGTTTGTTCGACTTTCCAGTGTTCTTGAGATGTCGGCGTCAACAAGGCGGGTTACTGTTCCGAATAAAAATTTGGCGGGACTATTTGCGATCTGTTATCGATAAGGACCCTTGGAATTGGCACAGTGCTTAGGCTGGTGGGGCAGCCCCGGAAGAGAGATACACGCACACTGTGATCTTGTGTGCACAAGGTCATCATATTATCGAATTGCCCATATAATCAATTTGCCCGTCAGTTAAGCCGCTGGAAGTCTCCTATCAGCCGCAATGAATATTTCCAAGAGTCCATAAGGGATACGTTCAAGAAATCATACCATATTTCTTGCCCGCTGCAAGTGTCTGGATATGGTGACATCCACCAACACCAATGTACAGTGAAAACACTGTGCACTCCATCCCGCGCGAGTGCTCACTGAGAAAATAATTGGGAAAATAAAAGTTGTGAAGCAAGATGGGGAGGGGGGGCTTCAGTCTATCTTTCACCACTCTGGCAGCTAATATCAGACAGAGTGGATAGAGAAAGGGTGTTTTGCAAACTCCTCGTTAGCTGCGTGGGAAAAAAAACCTGTGTCTTTCCTTTATAGCAAAAGCATCGCTCTTGCCGGGCCACATATTTCCCACCTCAACCACACATCCACGCAAAACCCTGCAAACCTGGAGAGAATGGCCGAATCCGCCATCTTTACGCCCCAGGGCTTTGTGCCGCCGCAGCCCAGCTTCCGTATTGGCCATCATGATTCCAAGCGGACGGCTCCTCTGGAGGACATCCAGTACGGCCATCTGCTCAACCAAGGTGTAAGCGCGGCTCAATATTACCTCTCAGTCCCATTCTACAATATACGGAAAGGGAACGAGAACTGACACACGTCTTCCAGTTGAGCTTTGTGACAACGCCCATTACGAATGATAACTTCAGATCGCGGGTGTTTGAACTGGTTGAGAAGCATCTGGCCACGGTCAAGGCCGCAGGCGATGACAATGCCAACATTACAACCCCTTCCGTCCCAGACCCCATTCTGCCGCCGTTGACGCCCGAGGACACGAGTCTGTTCCCGAGCCCTGCCGTCAACACATACACGGGAATTATCAGTCCTTGGATTGATCTGTGCTCACCCAACCGCATCATTTCTAGTATTTCTCGCCAGGTCCTGAACCTCGAGATCAACTACGCCAACTTCTGCGGCGTCAAGAGCCTCGTCGTCCAGGGACCCGCGCGCGATGCGTCCAAGACTGGGGGCAACCAGGGCCTGGCACAGTACTCTCGCGCGGTCCAGGAAGCACTCAAGGTCGGGGACCGGTTGACCTTTTTGGTTCACATGCCCATGTACCGTGAGCCCGGTGTTGCCACCCAGGCTCAGCTCCTCTCTTCGCTCGACACCACTGCCACTCCCGAGGAGGAAGCCAAGGAGGTAGACCTGTTTACTTCATGGGATTCGTGGAACCACATCCGCTCTGTGTGCGAGTACGACATGAGACTGTTCGTGTGTGAGTGGCCACAGCATATCAAACGTCTGAGTCAATATTTTAACTGCGAGTGTCATTTTCAGCGCTGCGACTGCCCAAGGTTATGCCTGAAAAAACCCTGCAGAACCGGTGGTTTGCCGAACCTCTGCACTACCTCACCCTGTGGCCCGAGATCTTCCAGAAGAACGCGAGCGGCTTTCCCAGCCTGTCTAGGCACCATCAGGAGCTCATCTTCAACTACATGCAACTCAAGGCAGCACCGTGGCTGCTTCTCTGCGACGTCGGTCCCGATGCGAAGCAGAAGCAGACTTCCCAGACCGGCGTGCAAATCGAGTCTCAGGAGCACTTCCCGAGCCTCTCACAGGCACAGGCGCACGCCAACGTAAAGCAACAGTCTGGGCCGGCAAAGTCGTCCAGAGACCACCTTTCGTATTTGCAGTGGCTCGAGTCGCAGCAGCCGCCCCTCTCCGACCTCGAGGCGAATACATTGATGAGCTTCCAGGACTGGCTGCAATCTCCCCTACAACCCCTGGCGGACAACCTCGAGTCGGCCACGTACGAGGTCTTTGAGGCTGACCCCGTCAAGTACGAGCAGTACGAGATCGCCTGCACGGAAGCTCTGTCCGAGTGGAAGAAGCTGGGCAAGCCGACCTCCAAGGAGGGTGTTGTCGTCATGGCTGTTGCCGGATCCGGTCGCGGTCCCCTAGTTACCCGCGCTCTCCGCGCAGCCGAATCGACGGGCGTTGCCGTCGAGGTGTGGGCGGTGGAGAAGAACCCCAACGCATACGTCTACCTGCTGAACCAGAACAAGTCGATATGGGACGGCAAAGTCAAGGTGATCAAGACGGACATGAGGTCGTGGAAAGGTCCCGTGGTATCCGAGTCAGCCGAGACGGGCCCCGTCTACGGCAAGGTGGACATTCTGATATCGGAGCTTCTCGGCTCGTTTGGCGACAACGAGCTGTCGCCCGAGTGCCTTGACGGCATCCAGCACGTCATGGCCAAGCCGCACGGCATCTCTATCCCCAGCTCATACACTGCCCACTTCAGTCCCATCTCCACGCCCAAGCTGTACGCCGACATACTGTCTAGGAGCACGGTCGATTCGACAGCCTTTGATACGCCCTGGGTGGTGCGCCTGTTCGCCATGGACTTTGTCACGCAGAAGGTCCCCGGCCACCCCCGTATCCAACAGGCTTGGGAGTTCGTCCACCCGATCCCCACGGGTACCATCGAGTCCATCGAGGCCCGGCGGTCCGGCGGTGTCGTCGGCGGTGGCGGTGGCAGCATGGCCGGCGCGGCCGGCGCCAACGACCACAACTCGCGCTTCTGCCACGTCACGTTTGTGTGCAGGGCACGGGGCGTCACACACGGCCTGGCGGGTTACTTTGAGTCGACGCTGTACGAGTCGCAGCTCAAGGAGACTGCTGGTGAGAAGGTAGAGATCAGCACGCACCCTGAGCGTATAGACTACAAGAGCAAGGACATGATTTCTTGGTTTCCCATTTTCTTTCCGCTCAAGGTAATGTTCCTCCCCAGCCTCCCCCCTCATTTGATGCAGCCTCTCTGGCCCCCGCTGTACCGTGAGCAGCAGAAGCGCTAACCCTTGGATCGGATACAGAAACCGCTACACTTCCCGGCGGATACGGAGCTTGAGGTCAGCATGTGGCGACAGACGGATGACGGTAAAGTCTGGTACGAGTGGCTCGTGGAGGCATGGGCGTGGGTCGGGCCGACATCCAGGATCAGGGTGGCTTCATCGGACATGTGCAGCAGTCGCAGAATGGCATGCTTGATGTAAAGCCTGAATCGTGAATCGGGAAGCGTGAAGCAAACCAGACCAAGTTAGGCGGCCACGGTTGATACCCGGGTCTGGCAGTTTAAAGACGTGGGCAGTAGCTCCATTTGTCCGGAGGAGGCAAAAAATGCAAACTGCTTTGACGGTCAGATCATTATCGCAATGACTCTATGTAGGGGTAAATAATCTCTTTGTTCTTCCCATAGCAAAGGCCAGGCTCGTATCCACGTCTATATGTATGCATTTTCGAGAAGAGCATTATTGTGTATGGGTCGTTGCTGGGGTGTGTTTGTTTATCTACGAGTACGAGTAGAAAACGGTGTAACGGAGATGGCCGATGGCACTGGATAGCGGAAAGGCACCGGCCGAACCCTCTCTTTCCTGGTCAATCTCACCTGGCACGGAACAAGATTACTGAATGAACGTCGGTCACTATCCGTGAGGCTATATATTCCTACGAGTACGAGCACTTTGTATCCTGTGCTGTTATCTACTTATTCCTCGAGTGAAACCCCCCCCCCCCCCCAGCCGAACAATTGAAGCGTGGATTTTACCGTACGAGTATCCTACTCCGCATCTCCTCACCAGGTCTTGCGTGCTGACGTGCATGCACTATCGTGCGTCTTCAACCTTCGGGTAAATTCCCGACAGCCCTCCTCGCCCCCGCCCCAGACGGAACGCCGCCCGAGGCCACAAACCGCCCAACCATCAGCAGCCATCCATCACAGATTTTAGCGCCATGCGATCGTCATTGCGACCTTGGACTTCTAGATCAGCCATGCAGCGTCGCAAGCTGCCCTCCAACGTCGTTGCCCCCTCGGCCGAGCAACGAATTTCTCTCGTGTCGCGGCATCTTAATAAACCTTCTTCCTCCCCCTCCCTGCCCTCCCCCTCTTCCCCAGCTATCTCCTCCCACAATCAGATCCGACCAGTCAGCACCATGTCGTCTCAACCAGAACACGCAACCCTTCTCATTCCGGGTCCCATCGAGTTTGACGATGCCGTTCTCCAGTCCATGAGCCACTACAGGTATATTACATTTTTCTTCTTTTAAATTTTGCCACGCGTCAACTTGTGGGTGGCGTTGCTACATTCCCCCCCCCTCTCCCTTCCCCCCTCCCCTCATCTCCAGACCTCCTACCCCGCGCGCGCAGCTATCTACTCTTTTTCTAACGGGTTGATGGTCATGGTTGATATAGTGAGAGCCACGTCGGCCCCGCTTTCGTGTCCGTGTTCGGCGAGACACTTACCCAGGTCCGCCAGCTCTTCCAGACGACCGACCCCTCTGCGCAACCCTTCGTAATCTCTGGATCAGGCACGCTGGGCTGGGACCTCGTGTCGGCCAACCTGATCGAGGCCGGCGAGAGCGCTCTGGTGCTGAGCACGGGCTATTTCAGCGATAGCTTCGCGGACTGCCTGAAGACGTACGGCGCCGATGTGACCAAGATTGACGGCCCCGTCGGCGGACGCCCTCAGCTCCCCGAGATCGAGAAGGCCCTCTCCCAGAAGAAGTACAAGATCATCACTGTGACGCACGTCGACACGTCGACGGGCGTGCTGAGCGAGCTCAAGGACCTGACGGCCCTGGTCAACAAGGTGTCGCCTGAGACGCTCGTCATCGTCGACGGCGTGTGCAGCGTCGCGTGCGAGGAGATTGCGTTCGACGCATGGGGTCTGGACGGTGTCATCACTGCCAGCCAGAAGGCCATCGGTTGCCCTGCCGGTCTGTCCATCTCCATGTTCAGCGGCAAGGCGATGGAAGCCTTCAAGAACAGGAAGACGCCTCCTTCTTCTTACTTTGCTTCCATGAAGAATTGGACCCCTAGTATGCACTCCCCATCTACGCTTCCTCCCCCAAGCAAGGAAGCTTTTTCTGTGTCCTGCTTCCTCCTCCTCTTCCCTTGTATACACGGATCGATGATGGCTAATCATGGAATTGAAACGAAACAGTCATGCAGAGCTACGAGGCCAAGAAGCCTGCCTACTTTGCCACGCCCTCCCCCCAACTCGTCCGCGCCCTCAACACGTCGCTCAAGCAGATACTGTCCAAGCCCCTGGCCGACCGGTTCAAGAAGCACATCGAGGTCTCCGACTACGTCAAGAAGACGGTCAAGGACCTCGGACTTGAGGTGGTGGCCACCAAGCCCGAGGACCAGGCCCACGCCATGACGGCCATCTACCTCCCCGAGAACGTTGCCATCCCCGACATTGTCCCCAAGCTGTCCAGCAAGGGTGTCATCTTTGCCGGCGGCATCCACAAAGCCATCGCTACGAGGTACATTCGTTTCGGGCACATGGGCATCAGTGCCATGGACGACAGCCGTGGTGACATTGAGAAGGCCATGAACGCTTTGAAGGCCAGCCTGTCCGAGTGCGGATTCCAGAAGGCTTAGGGAAGGGGGTGTATATATATATATATATAAATAAAAGAAAACAAAAAGGAGTTCCAGCTCACAAGAAGTGATGGATACACTAAAATAACACATTTCAATCAAATCTACGGCTTTGTTCAAATTTTTTTTTAAAAAAAACTGTTTCCCTAAGTATAGCAGCAGCAGTAGTGAATATAATCGATCGGCTCAGGGATCGCTATATCCGGACTGACGTAGCTCCAATGCCGCCATATCATGTGAAGTGCAGTGAAGATTCGGCCACTGCTCCTCTCCACACCCGTGGCCCTACCTGAATAGTCTCTCCTATTGTGGAAGCTCAAATTAGCAATAGCATTTTCCCTGAGATGATACACGGCGAGGTTGTCGGCGGTTACGAGAGGTGAGTGGTGCCTCAGGTAGAAGCTCCGGGTCAAGGTGGGGTTTTGCCACGCTGTCGGCGGGTGGACAAAGGCGGGCTGGGTCCAGGAGATTGGAAGTGCAGGCAGAGTGCAGGAGTGCAAGCACCTAGGCGGCAGTGCTCGCACAGCTAGCATGTAGCAGTAGGAAGAGTAGGAACGAGGTAGTAGTAACACAGCATCATCTCCAAATGATAGTCTAAAAGACGCAATAAGAAGCTCGATATAACTTGCAGGCTCTACTCGTAGATTGCAGTAGGTGACGATGTACTGGGTACAAGGGCGGGGGCGTCATAGAGTGGATGCTCGTGCTGTCACTGCGGCGACCCGCGAGTTCCAGCGCGTCTCAAGGCCCAAAACGCAGGTCACTGAAGTGTTCACTGGTAGGCCGCGACGGTGACCTTGCCAACACATAGTTTTTCTCGATCCACTGACATGTCAGAGAGGCACGGGGGGGGGGGAGGGGCAGTACTCGTAGTAGACTTCTAAGTACCTTTTATCCGGGCGCTGGCTGGTGAGCCACTACGCGTTCTACCGGTACTTCTAGACAGGACGGGGCTGACAGAAAAACTGCATCACAGCCTCTCCCCTCCCCTCTCACACACCTCACTTTCCCCTCCCCGCCGCTTAGTACTACGCATCATTTCCAAGCTGTCTGCTGCTGCTGCCGCTGCTGCTGCTGTGCTGTGCTCTCTATCATCTGCTGAGCCCCGCCATTTTGTCGCGCCGTCCGTGATTGTGGGGCCAATTTTCTTATTCTCTGCTCCTCTCTCTCCGGGCATCTCTGAACCCTCTCTCTTCTCTTCTCTTCTCTTCTCTTTTTTTCTTTCTAGGTTGTTAACCAACTTGCTAAAACAATCCTCCAGTTCCAATCACGCTACAGAGTAATAGTACCCTCTCTCTCAACTGCTACTAACGTAACGAACCCCCAAAAAAAAGCACCCTCCAAACGCCTCCGTCCCTCTCCCTCTCTCTCTCCTTCCCACCTAACACACTCATCCTCTACACCTAAAAAGACAGTTTCCCCACTCGTTCCCTGTTTGGAAAGCAGACGCAGAGCTGCATAGCAGGAGAAAAAAAAATTGAAGAGAAAGAAGAAAAGAAGAGAAAAGAAAAGAAAAAGAGAGAGGCATCTTTTCTTTTTCTCTTTCGCACTTTGCTGCCTCTCCCTTTCGTCCCATCTCCTCCTCCCCCCCCCCCCCCCCCCCCCCCCCCCCCCCCCCCCCCCCCCCCCCCCTCCCAAACAATCCGCTAGGGCTGGAGGAAACCGTTCAAGCAACCACCTTGCTCTCTCTCTCTCTCCTCACTTCGATCGCTTCCTCTCCCCCACCTCTGCACATACACACGCGCCGCCCTCGTCCCGTCATGGCGCCCACAATCGAGGAGCTCGACGCTACAGTCCGCGCCTTCTACGAGGGCCGTGGCGATCAGGTAAATCATTATTGACTGCTTGCTTTCTCTTTTGAGTGTCATCTGCTAACTCTCCGTAGCAAAAAGCCGCCCAGAATGCGCTGAACCAGGTTAGACCACGCACCCCCTCCTCCCTCCGCCTCCCCGCACCACTCTCGAAGCCCATGCCGACGACGAGAAAGAAAAAGAGAAAGACAATCAACACCGACCCGCTGCCTGCCTCTTCTTTATTTTTTTGCTCCGCTCCTACCCCGAGAGACGCTCGCTGACTTTAGGTTCAGTTCAAAGAGGATCCCGATGCTTGGTTAATGGTCGACAAGATCCTTTCGGATGCGCAGTACCCGCAGACCAAGTGTAGGTTTCATGCTCGCACGGGGCTCTCCTCCCCCTCTCGCTCGGTGGCCGCATCGCTGACATTACGGACAGACTTGGGTCTCCAGGTTCTTGACCATGTTATCATGACGAAATGGAAAGTTCTTCCCAGGGAGCAATGTCAAGGTGAGATCCCCTTTCCCCGCCTTTGTGTCCGTAGGAGTTTTCTCTCCTCCTCCTCCGGACTGGTGATGGGCCCCGGTCTCTCCCGGTCTCTCCTGGTCTCTCCCGGTCGACCCCTTCACCCGTTCTCTCGTCGATGGCTGACCGTTCCCGCCCACTGTGCCTCCAGGTATCCGCAACTTTATTGTCCAGTTCATCCTCCAGTGCTCTAGCACTGAAGAGTCGTTGCGGTCTCAGAAGACGTTGCTCAACAAGCTCAACCTGGTCCTCATCTCGGTCCTGAAGCAAGAATGGCCCCACAACTGGCCGACCTTTATCAACGAAATCATCTCCTCATGCCACTCGAACCTGTCAATTTGCGAGAACAACATGATCATCCTGCGTCTGCTATCCGAGGAGGTCTTTGACTACTCTGCCGAGCAGATGACGTCCACCAAGACGCGCAACCTCAAGCAGACTATGTGTGCCGAGTTCTCTCAGATTTTCCAGCTCTGTCAGGAGGTCCTCAACACGGCCAACCAGGTCAGCCTCGTCAAGGCCACCCTCGAGACCCTGCTCCGATTCTGCAACTGGATCCCCCTCGGCTACATCTTCGAGACGCCCCTCATCGAGACCCTGCGTACCCGATTCCTGCCCACCCCCGAGTTCCGCAACGTGACTCTGCAGTGCCTCACCGAGATTGGCAGCCTGCAGACCGGTGGCCCGGGCCAGCCAAACTCGTATGACGAGCAGCTCGTCAAGATGTTCACCGAAGTCCTCAGCACCATTGCCGACATCATCCCCGTTTCACTCGATCTCAAGTCGACCTACCCCAGCAGCAACTCGAGGGATCAGGAATTCATCCAGAACCTGGCCCTGTTTCTCTGTAACTTTTTCGGCATGCACCTTAATGTAAGCTTCTCCCCCCATTTTACCCCCTCCGGACACGCAGGGATCGTCTCTTTATGTGATGTCGCGTGGCTTTTTTGTGATACCCTTCAACACTAACACGGCCATTGTAGCTCATCGAGAACCTCCCCAACAGGGATTACCTGCTGCACGGCCATTACTACCTGATCCGGATATCCCAGATCGACGACCGCGAAATATTCAAGATCTGCCTCGACTACTGGCTCAAGATGGTTCAGGAGCTCTACGATGAGATGCAGTCGCTGCCCATCACCGACGCGAACCCGCTCCTCGCCGTTGGCGGTGCCGGCGGCCTCAGCGGAAGCGGTGCGCCCAACCCTAGCGTGCTGATGAACTACCCGCTCCGAAAGCACAAGTACAACGAGATTCTCTCCAACCTCCGAGTGGTCATGATTGAGAAGATGGTGCGACCCGAAGAGGTGCTCATTGTCGAGAACGACGAGGGAGAGATTGTCCGCGAGTTTGTCAAGGAGAGCGACACGGTCCAGCTGTACAAGACCATTCGCGAGTGCCTGGTCTACCTCACGCATCTCGATGTCAACGACACCGAAACGATCATGACGGAGAAGCTGGCGCGCCAGGTGGACGGGTCCGAGTGGTCGTGGCACAACTGCAATGTCCTCTGCTGGGCCATCGGCTCCATCTCACTGGCCATGAATGAGGAGACGGAGAAGAGGTTCCTCGTGACCGTCATCAAGGACCTCCTCGGCCTCACCGAGATGAAGCGCGGAAAGGACAACAAGGCTGTTGTTGCCAGCAACATCATGTACATCGTCGGACAGTACCCCCGCTTCCTCAAGGCGCACTGGAAGTTCCTCAAGACGGTCGTCAACAAGCTCTTCGAGTTCATGCACGAGTCGCACGAGGGTGTGCAGGACATGGCTTGCGACACTTTCATCAAGATTGCCCGTCAGTGCCGTCGTCACTTTGTGGCGCTCCAGAACAGCGAGCAGGAGCCCTTCATCGAGGAGATTGTGAGGAACATGGGTAAGATTACATGCGATCTCACGCCGCAGCAGGTCCACACCTTCTACGAGGCCTGCGGCTACATGGTGGCGGCTCAGGGCAACCAGCACCAGCAGGAGCGGCTGCTGGCCGACCTCATGAACATTCCCAACACGGCCTGGGACGAGATCATCAAGCAGGCCACGTCGAACCCGTCGATTCTTCAGGATTCGGAGACGATCAAGGTCATCGGCAACATCATGAAGACCAACGTGTCGGCCTGCTCGTCGGTCGGGTCATACTTCTACCCCCAGATCGGTCGCATCTACCACGACATGCTCGAGATGTACCGCGTCACCAGCGGGCTCATCTCAGAGGCTGTGGTGCGCGACGGCGACCTGGCTCCCAAGATGCCCAAGGTCCGCGGGCTCCGGACCATCAAGAAGGAGATTCTCAAGCTGATTGAGACGTACATGGACAAAGCCGAGGATCTCCAGGCCGTCGGCAACCAGATGGTGCCGCCTCTACTCGAGACTGTCCTCGTCGACTACAACCGCAACGTGCCCGGTGCCCGTGATGCCGAGGTCCTCAAGGCGATGTCGACCATCATCACCAAGCTCGGAGTATGTCTCTTCCTCCCCTTCCTCCCTCCCCTCCGCCTCAACCTCCTCGTACCCCTTTCTTCGAGACCGTTTCTTCGTCACTATCCGTGAAGGTGGATCTCCTCTTACTGATACGCCCTGCAGCCCCTCATGGAGGAACAAGTCCCCCTCATCATGCAGAACGTGTTCGAGTGCACGCTCGACATGATCAACAAGGATTTCTCCGAGTTCCCCGAGCACCGCGTCGAGTTCTTCAACCTCTTGCGTGCCATCAACCTGCACTGCTTCCCGGCCCTCCTGAAGCTCGACAACCACCAGTTCAAGTTCGTCATCGACTCGTGCTCGTGGGCTTTCAAGCACGACAACCGCGACGTCGAGGCGGCTGGTCTCAACATGTGCCTGGAGCTCATCAACAACATTGCAGACAAGACGGACACGGCGACGGCCAACGCCTTCTTCCAGCGCTTCTTCGCCAACATCCTGCAGGACGTCTTCTATGTGGTGACTGACCCTGACCACAAGGCTGGCTTCAAGACGCAGTCCATGGTGCTGATGAAGCTCTTCTACTTTGTCTTCCCGGCCGACGGCACGGCACCCAAGATCCAGGGCCCCATCTACACGCCCGAGCAGGCAGCTGTCGGCACCGGAAACCGGGAATTCCTGGGAAACTTTGTGGCCACCCTGCTCCAGGGAGCATTCCCCAACCTACAGACGTGAGTGATCCGGAGGCGTGCTGTCAAGGATAAGGACACGAGCTGACTTTCTATCCTTCTCTCATTCTTTTCTACGCATAGTGCACAGATTGCCAGCTTTGTCGAGGGCCTGTTCACGCTCAACACACAGTACGACAAGTTCCGGCTCAACCTGCGAGACTTCCTGATCTCCCTCAAGGAGTTCGCGGGCGACAATGCCGAGCTCTTCTCCGTCGAGAAGGAGCAGGCTGACCGTGACACCAAGGCGGCGGACATGGAGAGGAGGCAAAAGGTCGGAGGTCTGCTCAAGCCATCCGAGATTGACGATGAGGAGCTGTGACTCAAGGAAGAGCTTCGGACCGAATATGCACCGAAACATGGTGAGGTGACGGAGGACGACGACGGCGGCGGCGGCGTTGGGGATGGATGGGGTTATTACGGACTATAAGACTTATTGTGGAGGAGGGGAGAAGATGAAGAAGGGGGAAGATACACACGACTCATGACGTTGACGAAGATGTCAACGACGCAACACACGACATTAACAACAACAACAATAACAACAACAACAACGACAACAACAACGACAACGACAACAACAACAACAACAACAAGACACATACAACATACCTCATACACCTGAACACACACACACACACACACACAGAGAGAGAGAGAGAGAGAGAGAGAGAGAGAGAGAGGCACGAAAAGGGAGGAGGAGATGAGAAGACACGCCCGCCGATGCCGGAAGATTTGCACATTATCTTTGTAGTGATACCAAGACCAGCCGAGCAGGGTTAAACAGAAAGTCGAGACGTATAAATGGCTAGTGGCGAATTTAAATTTCCCTCTAAAAAAAAAAGAAATTCGGGAGTAAGAAGAAGAAGAAGCGGCACTGAAACAGATGGGAAAGTGATGACACTGTACGTGTATTTTCTGTTAGGAGGGCTCCTAAAAATCTTTTGTGTTTTTTTATTTCTTCTGTTTCTCTGTTACGAGTATTTTTTCATCTTGCGTATGGACTATTGATTGTATTACGCGTAATACATGGTGATACTGAATGGAAATAGTACTGCTATCTGTATCTACTGGTCTGGTTTGAGCATTGAAGCGGATCGAAACGCATGATGACAGTTTGGTTCTTTTTTTTCCCAACTGTTTGAAGTTATTAATATCTTGATACATTGCTGCATATGTCTTGATTGGAATCCATCGTAGAAAGGTACATTCATGCTTGAAGAGCGCGTGTGACTGTGTATGAGAACTGCATCAAGAAGAAACAAGCGCCAAGAGGGAGAGAGAGAGGGAAGGAAGAAAGGAAAGAGGAGAGAGGGGAGAAGGGGAGGGGGGGGGGGGGGGGGGGGGGGGGGGGGGGGGGGGGGAAGTGGGAGGACCCGGAGGAGGAATTACGGTAGTATTATCTACTACAGAGTATCAATCGTACAGTCTACGAGTACACGACTAAGCCGGAGGGAGACCTGCCAAGAAATGTAGTGGAGGAGTCCTCGGGAAATAAAACAGAAGATGACGACGCAATGGTGGACAGGCCGAAATGTTGACCGGGGTGTGGGGTTGGAACTCCGAACTTGGAAGGGAGGGAGCCAAGGATGAGTCGGGAATGGGGAGGGGAAGGGGGGGGGGGGAGAGTTCGGGACGAGATTGCGGTAAGAGTGTGAGAGGGTGAGAGGACAGTGGACTAGAAGGAGACAGATGGGAAATAAGCGGGAGAGGAGGATTACATCCATCCTCCATCCCATGCGTGATGAATACCATCAACATCAACCATATTGTTTCTCTTACCTCGGTCAGGGGGGGGGGAATTGAGCAGAGTGAAAGCTTCCCGAGTACGCATCGTCAGACCCGCCCTTAAAGGATATGCATACGAGTACTCGTATAGATATGATCCGTACCAAGGCAGTCATCTATCTGTGCAGGTAGTACGAGTATACGAGCAACGGCAACGGGGACTGCATTGTCCCCGTGTATGGGAGAGACGAGAAGGAGAGAGGAGAGAGAGAGAGAGAGAGAGGAGAGAGAGTACGGGTGACAGATTACAGAATAATTAACTGTACACGTATCTGACGCGGACGCGACAAGATTGTATTACGCGGACAAAGGACCATCGGGGAGGAAAAGAAAAGGGGGGGGGGGGGTGGGGAGGAGAAAGGAACAAAGGGTCTGTACAGATTACAGATTACAGATTACAGGGCTAATATTCATGTTCTCGGCCAGTAGACTGTCATCCGAGACATGAACGGGACGGTAAGCGGGAGAGAGAGGCAGCCCACGAGCCGGGTCCTGAGATGGGGCATGCATGGAAGAGGAGGAGGAGGCAGACATTGCATTACGACTGCTGTACGTGCAGATTACATGATGTACAATACCATGAAGTGGAAAGATGAAGAAGGGTTCTCGATGAGAGAGGGAGGGGGGGGGGGATCTTGGAGAAGGAAATCCATATAGCATGGGAAGGGATGGATACCGCACCGGTACCGTTCTGTATCTGAACAAGCACGAGTCCAATCACTCAAGGTAGTATATATATATATATATTTACAAAAAAAAAAAGAAGTTTTTAGCAAGGGTTTCTGTCATGATATTCAAAACGTGGTACGAGTACACGTATGCTGCACACCCCACCCCCTTCAAGAGGAGTCAAGGAGGGAACAATACGGGAGTACACGTATAGTCGTCCAAGATTAGTTTTCTCTAGTGCTCTTAGCAAGGAGAAGATGTATAGAATAAACGTTTTTTTTTTAAAAAAAAAAAACAATTAAACAGTTGATAATAATACTAGTATTAGTAGTATTAGAGAGAGAGAGGAGAGAGGAGAGAGAGAGAGTGTGAGTGTGTGTGTGTGTATGTGTGATGGTAATCCACAGTGGTGACGACGACGACGACGACGACTGACGACGCGGCGCAACCCACACATAACGGGGGTTTACAGAGTATCACTCGTAGAAGGAAAAGCAAGTCTCCTTGTTTATATGTTTATAATACCCATGTTCTTGGCAGAATGGATATGTCATGGTTGATTGTTTCCCCCCCCCCCTTCCTTTAGAGAAAGAGGTTGTCAATACTTGTAGTAGTAGTAGTAGTAGTAGTAGTAGTAGTAGTAGTAGTAGTAGTAGCAGTAGTAGTAGTAGTAGTAGCAGTAGTAGTAGTAGTAGTAGCAGTAGTAGTAGTAGTAGTAGTAG